TGTTTAAACTGACACCTGATTTTTTTGGTATTTTTATTATTAAATGTATTGTTAATAAAAAAAAAGTTAAAATTATAATAACACAATTTGGAGATTGATAGAAACTTGCAAAGAATGCTACACAATGATTTTATTACAATATTACTTGTAAAATAACAGATGTAACGCTTATGTCTTAAAAGATAAGTAAAAATCTATAATTCAAGAGCCATGTATTGGAACAAGTGCCGTTCAGACGTTTGAAACTACAATACAATGTGAGAATGTAGCCACATTAAAATTCCAACACTTATCATGCAACGGTTATTGTAGGTTGTTTTGAATTTATATAATATTTAAGCACCCCCCCTCTCAGCTTTGCCTAAGACTCACCGAATGAAATACCGCAGTGTACTGACATGTAATGTAAAACGTTTTTAGTTAAAAATTTTATATCTATTTCTGACACTTCCCCAAACATAAATCTTCTTGTTAAAAATATAGTAATTCGGAATCGATGCATAGTTTAACAATCATCTAAACTTTCATCTAGTCGTCTAGATGCCACTGATCTTGCGGCAGTAGTCTTGCAAGACAATCTCAATTTTGGCATTTGGATGCCAAAATCTTAACTCAAAGATAAACTGAAAATAATTGTCAATGCAAATAAAAAGAAAAACATAATATAAAAATAAAAATCAAAGTTAAATAACTCACAGCAAGTATATAAAGAAATAATAAGCAGGACGGGTCAAAGCTATGCTTTCAACGCGGCAATTACAATCACCGCAAGAAATATTGCAAGGAGGAGGCTTAATGTTTCGTTTGCGATTTTAAATATTTAAACTATACAAATTAAAAAAACAAAATACTTTTTAGTTTGAATAGAGGAGAAGCTAAGAAAAAAAAAACAAAAAAAATGCCAAATAATAGGATTATTATCTAATAAAGGTTTTTTCCACACCATATTTACGCTCAAGAACGATCAAAACTTTATGAGATAAAAAATTTCATGTAATGTGTTATCACTCATCATCGACGTGCTGATGTTTACGTCACACGTTACTGATACCCGAAGCCTACTCCAAACTTTTAGTTATAGAAGTAACTCCATAAAATTGATTGCCAGAATGGCTCAGTCATTGTAAAGTAATATTGCAAACATAACCACTCGACTACTAGCAGTCAAAAATTGAAATTCCCTTAGAGCTGTTTTGCAGTTAGTTTTTATAAGTAGCATAAAAACACTTCTATTGAATTTATCGCTAATTTTAATAGCCAATGATACAGAAGTTGTAATTGAACTTCTGTCAAAATTTGGAATCGATTGCTTCAGGAGTTATTAAAATTTTTTCGAACATACAAACAAACGCTGTCTCTTTGTATAATAGTAAGATTTAAAAGTGTCGAGGTAACGAGAAGTATACAGTTAGTGGTAATATAGTTAGCTCATGTGCTACAGCTTGTAGTTATGATAATTGCACTTAATATTATAACAAACTAGATTTCTAATGAACTGAAAAATAGTTTCGTATTTTCAAGGGGTTCCAAGACTCTACACCTTAGTTTATATACATACACAGAAATAACCTAGAATATTGTAAAACAAGTGATAGACTTGTCAAAAGAGCATATTCAATAGTGTGTGTGTGTGTGTGTGTGTGTGTGTGTGTACACAACTACGATTATACAATTTTTTGAGTATATATTTGACGATGCTTACTTTTTACTTGAAAAGAGTTGTGATGAAACTAAAACGTGGTGCACTTAAAATTTAATTTTAATAAAAATAGAACTTATTGACAGTATGCTATTAGAATCTACAAATTTATTCAAATAATAAGTATAATCCTACTTAATTTAATTAGCGCCATTAAGAACATAACAAAAAAATTGTTTATAGAATGCGTAAATAGTTGAATTTACGTATACAAGCGTACTACATGTAAACAGAAGTCATTATTATGCTTGAAACATTTTTTTTAACGTGAAATGGTATTTCATTCTATCTCATCTTGAATCACTTGGTTGTAATTTTTTGTACGAATACAGGAAGCCTAGATAATAATGATTCTGCCAGCACGTATGATTTGAAAAGCCCGAATTTATTTCTTTAAGCACCGATTATGATTATTCTCACTACGCTACCAGGTCAGGATTTATAATGCGTTTATAATAATATAAGCTTAGCATTAAACTGCACCTATGAAACGCAATTCAACATTTTGCTACAAAAAATATAAATATATACAACTATAATCACTGCCAATTTCGACCGTCCACGGTTTAGAATGAGGTGTTAGGAATGTTTAAAATAAAAAGACTTATTACAAATTCTACAAGTCGTGCAACAAATTTTTTTTTTATTCAGATAAAAGTTGCACCTATCCGATAAAAAATATCCTGAACCAATATTGCCGAAAATGTTGATATACACTAATTTTGCAGCTAAGCGCTTTTTTACAACATACTTTGTGGTGCTGACACTGCTTAAATTTATTCACCGTAAATAACTAATTGAAAGTACAAATCTTTAAGAATAAATAACGCCTAAGCACGTCTTGCAGTGACATTCCAAAAAAAAGAACAATATAAAAAAAAGTAATTTTTTAATGAGTAAATACGTTTTTGCAAGAAGTATAAATATTCTCAATGTGCAAGAAAAACTTTTTTGGACTCACAAATGTCTAGGGTTTTTACTTTTTAAACGAACGATTAACTAAATAATCACATTTTTTGTAGTTTTTTCGATTTGTGGAAGCAAACAAATAATGAATTAAATTTTTTTGGGGCCTATGAAGAAGATAAAAATACGGAAATCAAATTGAAATTCAAATTTTTTTATAAAACCACTATCAAACCTGCTTTATTGACTAGTTTATCACTTGCACGATAATATTTGAGGTGGTTCCCTGGTAAAACTTTCTATATTATATGAATGTAAGGATTTTAATAATAGCTAAGCTCCCCTTCGTCTCTGGACGCCCCTAACAACCCCATCCATCACCATGCATTGCCCTTTGCTAATTATGGCATAACTATCTTGTTAAGTTTGATATTACCTTTTAAATTTTATACTTTTAGCCACCCTTTGTCACCCCATCCACCCTTATCTGCCCCTGCCCACCATTTTGTCACCTCTTCATAGAACCGGTAAATTTTCTAACCCCCTTGAGTAAAATTAGATCGAGAATAGTATAATAACGCGACATTACAATAATCCTTTTGTGATTTTTTTTACATCTGAGGTACTGCCATGGTACATTGACTTCTAAAAAAATTACAATAAAACTTTTAAAGCTGTTGTGCGTGCGCGCGCGCACACACACACGTACACACACTGAAATTGGAGTTCTCGTTGAGGTCGCAGAGGGGCAGAGCTTTGCCGGGGTCCTAAAGAAGATAACGACTGATTTCAAGTCAAAAAAGGCTGAGATCACAGTCAAAGAAGTCACTACAACTAAAAAGGGAGATCTTTTTAAGATTAAAAGAATAAAGGACAAAGAGGCCCTTGTTGGCACTTTAACTAAGACCGTGAAAGAACTAGGATCCGTGAGAGCAGGTGAGAAAAGGGTAACGCTCAAAATTCGGAACTCGCATCTGATTATTAAAGAGGCTGACGTAGAACTTGCATTGAGTAGAATCCTTGGTTATTCGCCATAGATGAGAACAGTGACGCTGCGAGCAGCAAATAATAAAAGGCAGAAGGTAGCTCTGGTAAACACTGGAGATACCGATACCAGAACTATAAAAGAAACGAAGAGGTTAACAGGTGTCACATGCTGCTAAGTTAGGAGACGGGTAAAGTACTCAAATGATACTGGTGTCTCGGGTATAGACACATAGCCCGACATTGCAATAAGCAGGACGGGTCAAAGCTATGCTTTCAACGCGGCAATTACAATCACCGCAAGAAATATTGCAAGGAGGAGGCTTAATGTTTCGTTTGCGAAACAGACGGTGCAAAACACGGAGCAGGTAGTGGCAGGTGCTAAACACTGAGAAAGGCACTAGAAGAGGGCAAAAGTAAAGTACGTAGAACGTGCAGATAGAGTTTAAAAAGACGGAAACTAGATGACTATTGCAAATCCAAGCTCCGCTAACTTATCTAAGCTATCAGCAAGGAAAAGCAACGGGAATTAATGTTCCCGCAAAACAGCAGACGATCAGACGGAAAAGAGAGAAGGCAACATCACGACGGTGACAGCACCCCGATGGAAGGCCACATCAATGGTCAACATTTCATGACCCCGGCTTGAAGTATTAATGCGAAAGCGGATTCCAAGCCAAGTGTTCTAGGAGATAGGTCTTGCTAGTTTAGTAGGTATTCAGTCAACATCGCTAAAAACACTGGAGCAAGAAATAAGCATTTTTAGGCTGGCTGCGAGCTCAACACAGGGAAGGGGTTCGTACCAACTTATGTTGTGCATTAAGGCATTCTGCACGACCTCGGGTAAAGAAAAACAAGAATCACAAGAACAAAAATAACAATAACAACAACAACAACAATGATTAACATAATGATAATAATAATAATAATAATANAATCTGTGTTTCTCTTGAATAACTATGTATTCATCTTGTATGATAACGTAAACGTCATCTTGAACTGATTGCAGTGCTTCAATAAAAATATAAATATATATATACATACATATATATACATATATGCATATATTCGGCTTTAGTGTGTTAAACTCAGTATTACTTTTACGTTAGTGTGATATCTCATAATTTTTATGATAATACTTACCACTGCATTAAGTTAAATATTGAATAATACTTATTGCAAATATAAAAAAGTCAAGTTGAAATCAGATTTGTTTATTACTATGACAAAAACAAAAATTATTAAAAATGCTTAAAAATGCATGAATTTTTATCATCTTTAAATAGCTGATAGTAAAATACGTGGTTTTAAGTAATTCTTTTTAGACTGTTTGACTATATGCAATTATTTGAAGTATGTATCAATTATGAAGACATATTTTCGTGAAACGACTGTAAATGTATTTACAAACCTGTGTTAAGTCATTATAAAATTTGACACCTTCTTGTAAGTTGTTTCTTATTTCTTTGAATGCGTTGTAAGCTGCAGCTAATTTACACAGCATTTGTTCACGAGCACTGCCACAATTTTTTTGCTCTTTTGAAAAATCTGCATGCTTCACCTATGGAAATAATTAACTTTTATCCATTTTTTATTGGTTTTCTAGATTTTCATGAATTTAATAAATTTTTTTTATTTGTCTAAAAAAAGTCGATTACAATAAGAAGAAGATTATGGTGAGTATTTATATAATATTACGCAAAAGTAACTGTACATGTTTAAGGATAGGTGGTCTGTAGTAGATGGAGAACTAAAAAAGACACTACTTAAAAAAACTAGTATCTTCCAGGTAAGAGTTTTCTTAACTTTTATTCATAAGAGAATATGTTGCATCCAAAGCCCATACGAATGTTTTTTTTTTTTTTCATACGTTATATTTTTATTTTTCCACAACTAACGTATAAGAAATTTAGAAATTTCACTAAAAAGGAAACAATGTAGCGCCCAAAATAGTAGCTAAGTGCTAAATACTTGGTAAGCTATGACTGAACTAATAATAGTAACAAGTAACCACTATAACTTATCTGTAAAGTATGCCTGAGGCAATTACAATGTTTACTAAAACTAACAAATGTGGTGATAAAATATCATTTTTAGGCGCACATTGTAAGGGAATATCCATGTTTAAGTCGCAAAAGTTATTAAAACCGACAAGTTGTTAGTAGATTTGTAATATAAAAAAACATTAATAGCACTACTTCTGTCAAGTTTTGATTATAATAATACCAATTATATGTATATAACCCGTGAAATCTTCAAGAACAAAATCATGATTACAAAATACTATTATAAAATAAGACGCAAAAAATAGCAGTGTTGAAGGGACGTACACCTCATAATGAATGAAGCAGCAAGTGCAATTCTTATAATTTGACCTCAGGCAATTCTGGATTGAATTAGCTAATTTTGACCATCTTTGTTGGCAACAGTTTGGCTTGTTAAGGTATGCAAACCCCATGCACTAAAGATCATGCAAAATGAGCCAATCACAAAAATACGCCTGTGCAAGAATTTTTGTGAAAATGTAGACTTTTTGTGAAGTGAGATAGAAAGGCGATAAAAGTTCTTTGAACGTACACTTTCTCTCTCTGAGGTAGAAAAGTCACTCACAGGAGTCGTTGGTGGAGATAAGAGCTATTTGGTAGTAGACTATTAGTCCCTACCAATGGTTCCTCCTTTGGAGCTCCTTCAGTCACCATATTCTTAGTAGCAATTGATGAGTTATCGGATATAGAAGCCATTAATTTTTTATAGCTCATCGCAGTTTCCTGTCCGTGATAGCCTTGGTAATCGTATAGCCTAGCTTTTAAGGACACTACAACAGTATTTTCCTGTTGTTATTCTTTAAGTTTTTCTATATTTATTCTGCACATCATGCCAAAAGTAGAGCTTGACTTAGTAGCTCATTAATACCTGCGCCAACCAAACTGTATCCTAACTTTAAATAATAAAAGTAAGTAGATCTCAAATTTAAATTCACCTAACTTTATCTCACATAAGTATATCAAACACCTAACAGACAAATCACTTATCTACTAGCCTCCCAATGCCTGCAACCTTAAACACATACGGAGTAGCTGACTTGAGTCCACGCCGATAAGTTAAGTTAATTTTTGCTAGATACCTTTTTTGACACACAGTAAGTTTGAAATTGCTATGAAACGAACATTATAATTTTTTGCATCACACTTAATCAATTTATTAAAAGAGCTTCGATAGCTTAGTGGTTGGCATGCTCGTCTCTTAGCCAGAGATACTCGAGGGGTTGTAGGTTCGAATCCTGTCGAAAATTTTCGAAATATTTGTCTCGGGCTTTTTTGATAGGATGAGTACCCAGGATATCAAAACACTACTTATCCGATTTTTAAAACTAATAGTCGATTCTTCTGACGATGTCTGGACCTCTAGGGGCTTTCTTTTCAAAGGAAACCTAACACCTGGCTAGCTCATCGGGTAGAGTCTCTGGTAGTTATAAAAAGGTCAATACAGCAAATGAGATGGTTTATTGGAAAATATCTTTTCATTGAAATTAATAATAGCTGGGGTGTGCTTGAAATAATCGCTGCACCCTATAAATAGTACCCAGTAGGATGAATGACTGAGACGTCTGAGGAAAACTTTCCAAGGGGCCTACACGAAAGACTCGCACACCGTGCGGTTAGAGCAAAAAGTTCAAAGCAAAAAAGGTCGCTTTCACGGCAAAAGCTGACGAGAGTTCTAGAAATCAAAATACCAACACTAATACCAATAATCAATACGCATGTCACAATGATACATGATCCGGATAGAACTTTTGTGATGATTTAAAAGTGCCAAGTATGCTATAGTCTTGATCTCTACATTATACAGGTAAACATTTCATAGAAACGTTTTAAACGAATTTTAGTCGAGATATGTATCAATTTCAAAACTGTTGCACCTTAGCATTTTGAAATCTGTGTTTCTCTTGAATAACTATGTATTCATCTTGTATGATAACGTAAACGTCATCTTGAACTGATTGCAGTGCTTCAATAAAAATATAAATATATATATACATACATATATATACATATATGCATATATTCGGCTTTAGTGTGTTAAACACACTATTAAATTTCAAGTGGAATGCCTTATAACTGTAGTTGTGTGACACACGGGATTTGTAAATTCTTCCTAAAGTATGAGAGGCATAAGAGCATCAGATTTAATAAAATTATCTAAAACATAATCACAAAATTTCTTAACATTTTTGTTTTGAAGTATAAAAGCAATTAGATATTCAGTATAAGATTCACTTACATCTTGATTGAGAAAGGTAAACCTAAAAAAGATTTGAAAAACTCTACTTCAGATTGTGTGTCTTTGTAATTTATATTAAGACTAAGTTCTTGTATTTCATGCCTTCAACACGAAATGAGAACTATGAACTGCAAATAATTTTTAAAAATTTGGGCAACTACAGAAACTGTCATCTATAAACCAAGTGCTCAGCAAAAATAAACATTTCAAATTACTCGCCGTTGAAAGTAGGACGATGTGATAATTTATCATTAACCCATACGAATTCTTTATGCTGGTTGGTTAATATTTGTTGTTTGTCCAAAGCTTCATACAACTCAGAAACAGATTTCAGTTGTTAGCCATATCTACCACGTCTGGTTGCTCCGATGTTCTTTCGTATTTGAGCAGTATGTTTCACTGTAATAATATGTCACATTGTTATACTGAACTAAGCACCGACATTTAATCGCAGGAACCCAACTTGGCGCAAACATTTAATGGCTGGGACCCTACTTGGTACTTTTTCTTGGTTTGGGACCCAATTCAACATCAGGACACTAATACACGTGATAAAATACGTGGATCAGAGTAATAGAATCTTAGTTTCGTACTTTCAACGTAACATATGATAAGGATTTTCCAAAATTAAAATATTTCTCGTATACTCTTGAAATTTTAGGTCTTGAGAAAGACCTAGCCAAAATTTAAATCATCATTAGAAGTTAAGATTTATACTTATGCTGTACGGATTTGGGTTATGAATATGAAAAAAATAATTATTACTCAGCACTAATTAACAGATAAACAAATTGTGAAAAACTACATTATTGACTAGATTTCTACTACTTTCCATAATCAAATATCCTCTAAACAGCTGTATGTATGTATATCCATACTCTTGTACCATAAGCAATGCATAAGAATAAGAAAGTCTATATTCCACACGAATTTTATTTTAAAAAAATTCAGCGATTGCAAAATTAAGAAGTTTCTTGAATAATTTAAATAATACCATGCTAAGATATTTATTTAATTTTCAACCACTTCTTGGTATTTAATGATTAGAAATGTTAGAGAAATCGAAGTTATTTTTGTTTTCCTCTTAATCGTTACAAAATCATAATATAAATTCCTTGTTACATTTTTAGTTTGAATTTTCAACCCTATTATAAAATAAACGGTCAGACCAGGAACATAAAACTCTCAGACTTTTGTTGAAAAATAAAAATCTGCAAGAGTCCGGTTTAAATTTTTGTTGATAGTTTTTAGCAGTGTACATTATTAATAAATTGTGTTGTTCAAACAAATTCATTTTCAAAGCCTACAGTAGTCCAAATGTGACACGAGAAGTACTTTTTTGTTCGTAGTTTTTTTTCTGTTAAATTTGTAAAATGCATTTAAGAAAAATGTAACTGTTATAAAGATCTACAAAATAAGCCACGAAGATTAATTACTTCATTATTAGTTTAATTTAGAAATTTCTAAATGCTGCAAAACCAATAAAATAGTGGTTTATAATATTCTCAGTAAATGGGGTTTTAATAATCCAGTTTTATTGGCTTTTACAATAGCCAGTTCATGTTTAGCGCATGCCTGTTAAATTTAAGCGATCCTTGCTTGCTTTTGCAGCGTTGCTGCTTCATTGCCATGCATATCAGCAGGGGAAAAATCTTCTGTTATGTATTCTTCTCTTAGCCAATCATATAGGCTAATTGCAATGTCTTCATGTCTCTTAAGCGTTGGAGTTCTAATAAATTAAGAATCTTTCTACTTTTTTTTCGTTCCGTTAAACAAGTGCAGAAATTAAAAAATGCTTTACTTGCTTTTAAGTTTATTGTATATTTATAGCGAACGATATTAAAGCTTCGATCAAATTATTGATTGCTGTGTGTGTGCACTAGCTTAGGGTCCAAGTATGTCTGTGTATGTAGTACAAGAATTTGAAAAAACATTGATGTCTAATGTACCTTCATACATAACATTCAAATTTCCTGTGCTAGATAATGTGTACGAGAAAGAGAGATGATTGTTAGTGATTTGAGGTAATATCTACGACACTATTCCTACTTTTTTCAGTATAAATCTGTATGTGGGGTAAAAAAATAACAAAAGGTGAACCCCTCTCTCGTAAATATTGTGTTCGTAACTTCCTGCTCATATACGTGTAAATGTATATAAGGAATACAATTTATCAATTTCACACATTGTGTAGTGTCCACGACTATGTTTTCATTTGTGATGGACTAGTTGGGGGGAGGGAGTAAACATTACTGTTCAGGTGAGTTTAATGTCCAGACGTTAGCTGCACGTAATTAGATACTTGTTTCCAGTATTTAATTCAAGTAATGAAAATGTCGGTGTCAGAGTAATTGTATTAAGATTAGCTTAGGGTAACTATTTTTTTATAGTTAAAAAGTAATGTAAGACACTCACAGCAACGTCTACGGGGCTTGTACGAATTTCCATGGTGTAAACCTGTTCGGGTATACAGTCGTTAACAGTATAAATGTATCCTATATCTATAAATCAAAAGCGAAAGAGAGAGATGGAGAGAGAGAGATTCATGTATATTAGCATCGTGTATATCTAGTGGAACGTGGCATTCATAAAATTATCTGTTTTAACGCTCTCGTACTTATGTAAAAAGTTTTCAAGCTCTTTACTCCTCCAAAAGCTTCATAACTTAACGTAAGCAAAGCGCACACTTGTTAACGTTTTCAACCTTAAGGCGTCTGTCCACCTACTAATATCTAAAGGTTACCCGTATCGTCTTTACGATCGACGTTGTAGATTGCTAGGCTACCATGAATTTTTCGTTGAGTGCCGATGTGACAGAAAAATGAGCGTGAAAATAGGACGTAAATCTATTAACATTTTCTCCGACCAAGCATATATGGGTGAGGGACCCCCAACGACACTCCTCGTCTCTTAGAGCAGGCTAAACTGCCTGCAAACGGCGTTTGGTGTCACGTACGCATGCGATATAAAAATACAATAAGTCATATTTTGTGTGAGGAACAGAAAACAGTGAGTTGGGGGTCAGCAAAACGCTGTTAAAACTGCCGTCTAGCGCTCGCTAAGATTACAATATTTTACATTCCCAAAATGGCGGGCAGGCTTCATTAGCTAGGTATACTAAGTTTACAAACTCCAATGTCAAAAACTTATTGTGCATTGTTTACTTTAGGAGCATCGGGTTATACCGCAAAGGAACTGCTAAGTATTAAACTAGCTAGTGGGCGTCCTCACCAGCCAAACACTTTTGTGCAAAAACGGAAGTACAGACCCTGGTACTCAACTGGTCTCAACCTGGCCTCGGCAATCATGACGTTCAGCATTAATGCCCCAGATCGTTCATGTCGGCTTTTTTATGTCTAACCTCTTTTAATTTTCTGGAGCTCAAACGCTCGCTACCTCGCTCTCACACATTCACTCACCCAAACTAGTCTGCCTCTCGTAGTCTCTCGTCTTCCTCTGCTTTCTCTCGCTTTCCCTCCCCCCCATGAAGGAACCAATTTGTTTTTATTCTATTATTTTGTTTAAATAATGCGATGTATGAAAAATCAATCTCGCCACTGGTTTTCATTTTATGAGTAAATTTTAAATATTTGTTATAATTATAAGAGATATAAAGAACAATATTAATAGTAACTTTTCTCATCCAAGCTATTTAGTCATCAACATATGTAAAGACGAAGTGCGGCTCTATACTGTATTTATTTTGTTAACTTTTTCAAAAAACAATGCACTTTGTCGTCGAGTTCCGAATTCATAAAAAAAAAAACAAAGGTTAGTAGGCCAAATATTTGATGGTAAATTTTATTGTCAATGGTGGAAAACATATTTTCGAACAAAAAATCTATTTTACGGTACATTGACTGTCCAAAATGATAAAAGGAACATGTAACTGAAACGTGAGGCAAAACTGTATGGATGGCATTGTGTATAGCCAACTCAAAGTCTGTAAAAATATTTTTCAGTTCTGAATGCGAAATTCTTCAGCAGCATTCTGCACAGACTCGAGTACCGCTGTGTACTGAGCACATTTTTTTTACAACAATAGTGAGTACACGAAAGGCAGCGCAACACCAGGGTCTTCAAAGCCACGTTCTGTTTCCACCAAATCCAAGATGGCAAATAGTTGGGTAAATATAGTTAGACAGACTTGTAAAAAACAGGAGGGATATGTATAGTCATAAAAAAGCAAAATATTTGTCCGTGGCATTGCATACCAGACCTTAAATGTGCCATCGAGAAACCACGTATCACTTGCACTGAGTATTTCGACATTGCGATGTGTAGCGACTCAATGGTGTAAACGTTGAATTCGTTAATGAGAAACTGTTCAGAAGAGATTCTAAGCATTCTTTGATATTTATTAGGAAGAACATTAAGTTCAGCTAGTGATCTTAGGTTCGGAAGAAGATGTTTACGACACTGCATGCGCATAGATTTTTTCAGTTGCTCTCGTTCTGACAATTAGCTTATTACTATATCAGATGAATCAGCAAACTTCATACGAAGAATTTGTGACGGAGCTTGTTCTGGATCTTCCTAAGCTTTGCATTTTACCCTACACAGCGTAGAAAGTTTTAAAGTTCGACTACGTATTTGTAATTCTACGGATACCCAAAATTATTTTAACTAAAAAAGGTGGGATTTTGAATAATAGTAATCTCGCTTCAATTAATTCAGCAACACTGCTCCAAATTAGGAGAATGTTCATGGGCTTCAGCAGGAGAGCATTTTAAAACAATAACGTCTTCTCCGGGCAGTGTGTCTGTGGTAACCAATCTGACAGTGCATTCTTTGCGCTGTAGCCTTTCACAATCTCAAATGGTTCTGTCGCGCGGCTTCTCGATTTATGATACGAAAAACCGTTCACAATCAATATATTACCAAGATTTACACTACGGTTATTCATTGCAATAAAAAAAAGGAGAAAAACGGCAATTTCGTAAGTAACAGAGATAATTATGAGAATACTGGAATTCCAGAAGTAAACTACGCAAAGCTAGTACTACATGAAAATATATTATACATCGTGAAATTAGCTTATCACGACGTTGGTTTTTCGTGGAAGTGGATTCGCGAAAATAGTCATTGGGAAATAGAATTCGTTAAAGTTAAACTTCGTGGAATTTACAAGTCACAAACTGTGCTTTCGTAAAAGTGTTTTCGGGAAAATGGACAGAGATCATCCTTTTAACTTCTTAATCACATTTTTAAGAAATGTTATACGCAAAAAAAAGGTCTCTAATTTCAAAATTAGAAACTCGCACACAAATTCTTCCAAAAATGGTTGAGGCTAGTTTGTTGCATAAACAACTTCTAAAAGCTTAATTACAACAATTCTTACTAGCATTTTTCATGTGTGCTGGGACAATGTCATGTTGGCGATATCAAATAAAAAATATGCTGCGCAAAACTGCCGGCACTAGCTTAAATTTCAGCTTCTCATTTTGTGAAAGGCAATTCGCGAATTCGTGTTCATATTTTTTAGCAATGCTGTTAAAAAATCTATTGATTACTGAAGTCGTCTTCTATCTAAAATCAGTATAATAGTAATGATATTTTTCATCCTCCATACTTTACTTAGAGCTCTACAAGGACTGAAGTTGTCGGTAAGCGGTTACACCACTTGGTTCGTATAGGAGAGTGGTAAATCCCCTGTAATTTCAGAGTTTGCCCTGAAGATTAACCAAAAATTATTGAATACTCATACGGAAGGCAATAAACACTATTTATATCAAATACTATATTGTAAGTGTATGTATCTCATTAGTTTTGGTTAAAAATTTAAATGATTTATGCTGGTTTTTCTAATAAAATAAAGCATCTTGTGTGAACTTAACAACCAAAAAAAAAAAAAAAAAGCATCGTTTGCATCCAAAACATTTCGCGTTATTGTATGACATTATTAAGGTTCAACGAATATTAAGAATCATTTAGGACATTGATTGAAAAACCTTAAGAATCACTAATTCTAGCCCATAACAAATACTTAAAAGACATAAGTTGCATAATTATACTATAATTTCATTTTATTTACAAAAATAATGTTACAAGAGAATGCAAAACTAGAAATTATATATACTCAATAACATTTAACAGTTATGGCGAATAAAAAGAAAAGTCTTATTAAATACCTGGATCAATTCTGTAAGTTTTTCTTGTTTAAAAGTACAATCTTCAATTCTTTTTTGTAGAGGAATAAAATATAAATTGAGAACTTCTGAAATCAAAGCTTTTTCGTTGACAATCCCATCTCTGGTAAAAGCAGATAAAAATTTTGCGGGTATGTCCATTGAAACAAACTGTAATTCTTGTTCAATAATATCTTGCTCTTTCTTTAATACATCAACCTAAGTTAATTGTTCAACTGTTAAACGAAGCTCAGTCACGAGTCAAATATAAGAATTAAAAAAAAATTTTTAATTACCTCATTCATGAGCTTACGTAATTCCATAACGGTTTCGCTTTCCTGAACAGCGGATCCAATTGGTATAATCTGAACAAGTTCTTTTGGTTCAATACTAAGTAAATGAACAGCTTCCCGATGAGCTTCGAATTTCTCTCTAACAACCTAAAAATGATCAGAACTTAAAATATTACTTGTTTAAGATTTACGAACATAATTAGTAAATTTTCATCATGTAGATACTACATGAGTTATGTTTACAATACATATAATAAACAAATGTTGGGTGCATCAATTTTAAAACTTTTTTTTTTCTTTTCCAAGGTGCAAGAAAGAATCTTTAAACGATACCCTAGTTATAACCATCACTAGGGTTAGATTTACTAGAATGTCTATTGACTAAGAACCAACCTTTTCGCATGTAGTCAGTCCATTAGAGCTACTCCTCCTATCAGTCAAAAGGTATCTAACAAAAGAAGGAAGTAAGATAAGTAACAGAGAATTTAGGAGGACAGGTATCTCTCAAAGAGATTAGAATAGCGGCACCAACGTATGTAGGCAAAGCTGAAATTTTATAATATAACTCAGCAGCTAAGTGTTTTTAAATCGTCAATTAAATAGTTAGAGTTGATGCAAGGTTTTTTTAGGTACGATAATTACTAAGTTCTACAAAAAGTTTTTTTTTTGCATTCATCAAGGTTTTGCTCTACACTTAAAATTACCAAAAAAATCATCTCAATATCTGCGCAAGAATGTGTACAATTGTATTGCATCCACACAAGCACATCGTTTTTCTCTGCAGCAAGCAAGTTTAGTATCCATTAAACTGCGCACTAAGTACCTTCATTGTGAAGCGCACAGTACATACAAAAAATTAGTCATAAAATCATGTCATAAGACTTTTTTAAGCCAATTCTTGCACATTCAAATGAATGTTTGCCTTGTTAGGTAAGCCTAGCGCCAAACAGTAGGCAAGTATGGTACTAAGTTAACCAGATGAGTAAAATGAAACTATATTACAAATCACTTGAAAATAACTAAATAAATAAGAAAACGATTTTTATGCAGCCGGAGAACAAATTATACACTTAAGTTTAGAATAACAACATGGAGCTACTTTTAATGGTCGTTAAACAACCACAATCACAAAAAACTGTAAATAAACCCGTACTTCTTAGGTCATGTGTATATAAATAGTGGTATCAGAAATGGCCACTGCAGATACTGAATATTTGTAGGAGCTGCGGATATAAATGTTTAAGGAAACGTAACCTTATGAATCCAGGTTTATTTGCTATTTTCTCTTAATATGGCCATGAGACAGCTAAAAAACCAAGTTTGGTTTGTAACTTTCAACTTAAGCACTTGAAACACTTTTTAAAGTAAGAACTTTTTTAGACACGCCTTGGTTAGGGACCAAAACGGCAGAAACGCACGTACGTACATATCAATACGTACAACTCAGTGACGTATTCAGATACGTATTGCAGTGTACGCAGCGTATACATACCAAGTATGTATGTGTATGTAACTTCTGTATAGACTATAGAAGTGGGTATGTAAGTGTATGTGTGGACTGTCTACAGTATACTTATACTGTAAACATGTGCGTACATGCATGTATGTAATACATATAGCTAGTTAATACTTTTATTTAATCCAAGTAAATTATCCAAAAAAAATGTTCATGCATTGCAGATCAACGTAAACGAACAATATTGATTCTACCGGTTTTTGTAATAATATTTAACCTTCAACTATTAGTAAGTTATATCTTGAAAAAAAGCAAGATAGACTAAGAATAACGATTTTTATGGGTTCTGTATGAAAAACAATATGACGCCTAAAAAGAAAAGCATCGAGTTGTGTAAAAACACAACGGCACATATCAGTGTTTTGGATATTTCTCTATGAAATAAAGATAAAAATTTTTAGAAAAAAATTTCATATTTGCAAGACTATAACGACTGTGTCGAATACATTTTTCGATCGTTGCCCGATTATAACCTTAAAAATTATTTAAAAAATTAAAAATTACTAACGGAATGATAAATGAATGAACCAAAAATAACAATTTTCATATGTTCGGAAATGTGTGCATTTTGTATAAGCAATTTTTTTTAAATTATCATTAGTCAGTGTACTAGTTACAACACTGGACCTTTATAGCCATAATATAAGTTCTGTACACTTTATAGAATACACGTCTGTGATCATGTTTATAAAAAGATTGTTCTATTTTTTGTTGAAACTTGTTTGCTTATTACAATAATATAACAATAACTTTCGACTTTTATCCTGTTATAAACAGGTGTAATCGTATTATTTTGAGATATTACAATTTTAACATTGAATTTCTTATCCTATTGCATAAAAAATTCAGGGCATCTCTATTAGAAATATTTTAAACTTAACACCTAACTGTGACCCTTCGCAATTAAAAAAAAGATATGGTACTACAATAGACGCTGTTTTTTTTTAGTTTCCTTATACATTTGAGTCACGAACATTTGTCTCTTATTATAGTTATCGTAAGCCTATTGTTTCTGCAATAAAAACCGATGAACTAAGTTTACTTAACCAGTCTGTTAAACAAGTAGATGAATGAGAAACGTTAGCAATAAATTGTATTTATAAAGATTAAACAATAACAGATAAGTTAACTAAATAGTTGTAATACTCCAGCTTTATACAAGTAATAAGTCCATCTTCATTACTTCTTTATTATTTCATAACTAGTACTTTTTCATATATTAATAACATTTTTGTAAAATTCTTAGAAGTTTTATAAATACATTTAATAAACTTATTGCATTTAATATGAAATTAATTTTACCCATGGTGCCAATATATCAATTTCTGCTAACCCCTCAATCTTCCAATTCAAGACTATAGATCTGTCCGTTAATTTATACATATTTATTGTTTTCGAAATTCTTACTTTTGTGGTGTGTCACATGAGACGCGACAAGTTTTTTTGTATTCCTTCAAATGCCTATGACTTTGTCTTCTTACAGTTTTCGAAAAAAATGTAGTGTGATTCACCACTTACCTTGTTAACTCACTGTTAATTGAATTTTAAAAAGTCGAAAATTATACGCTAGGAGAAATTTTGTACTATTCTCATACAAAAAAAAAAAATTCTCCCCGGGTGTGGACCGAACACATAACCCTTATGTTGACAAGCTACCAATAGGCTGAGTATTTACGTTCATACCGTATGTGGTATGACTAGAAAATAATTTCTCACTTGTCGATAGATAAAATACTTTTACTACTATATACTTATTTTTACTTTATTTTAAGATAACATTGTAACAAAAGTTTTTTGTTTTCGTTTATGTGCGTCTGACATATTTTACTACTATGTAATACTTTTTTTTCTTGTATCTCGATTCCGAAGAACCATGGAGACATTTCGTACAAGCAAGAATTTTAAGATCGTGTCTTTATGTTGTTTAACACTTCTATATTCGTGGATAGCAGTAATTTAATTTACATTCAGAAAACGCGTAGAAATTGTTATTTGTATATTGTAAGTTTTCTCAGTGTAATATTACCAACCAGCATTGTTTAAAAACGTTTAATAAAGAACATTTAATAAAATAGATGAAAATTATTAGACTTACGAAAAACTACGTAGAAATGATCAATACGCATTTTTACTAATGGTTTCCTAAAAACTTTTGAAATAGGATAATTACATATTGTAATTCCTCCAATAACATCCAAAATTTAAGAACAAAAATTTTTGTGTAAAAGAATAAATACGAAAAGAAATTATCATGTAGTCACTGACATAAAAGAAAAATATCATCGCATATAATTATTAAGAGTAAGTTTTGACCTTTTGTTTTTTAAATATACTATTTTTCAGAGCGACAATCTTGATGGAATAAGAAAAAAGTTTCTATTAAGGAGGCCCATTACCATTGTAAAAGCTTAGCTATTATACTCAGATTAAAATTCACAATAAAATTAGTTTTAAAAAATCCATAGTTAATATATTGATGCAGATTGCTTACCACACTAAAAACGAAACTATTTAAAATTTTAAATTTTTAAAGCTTTTCTTGTCTCATTATTTGCGACATGTTATAAAAACTGAGATTTAACAATTTAAATAATTCCCTTCCTAACTAAATCCTTTAGTTGAAGGTTGCTAAATGAAAAAGTAAGATAAAAAATGTTAAAAGTCAAAGCTGTAGTTATATTCTGTTTAACAGGAAGAAATGTTAAGAATAAATTTTCATACCTCGGGCGTTTTTGAGAGGCTAGTGTGCCCTCAGTAGAAAAGATAGGATTCGCCACATAAGTGCCATCGCTCCGCGGCTACCTTACGTCCTTATGCTATCCTTCGCACTTGTTACGTAAATAACTATTTCGCAATAGTGTGCGGAAAATAGATATTTTTCGCAGTGTTTTTACTGTGGAAAATTGATTTTCCCGCATAGTGTGCGAAAAAAGTGTGTGGCAAATGTTTTTCCGCACACCGGAAAAAATTTTTCTACATGCCAGAAATCTCGCGAGGAACAAATTAAGATACCGTGTGTGTATAACTATCATTATACTACCTGGTGTAAGTCTCAACTTTCCAATAAAACTCCTTCTTGATTACTTTTTTTGTTAATTCCATAAAACTATATCATATAATAATTTCAGAACATTCCATTGGGAACCACAATCCTACTGTGTTGGTGAGGAATCCTTTAAAAAAATTGGTTACAGTTGTAAAATTATTTGAAAATGTTTTTGTTTAAGTAATTCAATGTTAATTTTTTACAATAAAATTTTATTTTAATCCAATTTTTGCTTTTATATTTGTGGGATAAAATTACTTTATTTTCTTTTGAACGATCATTTGATATTTTTGCAGTCAGGTAGGCTTTACTCCCCTCGTACTCCCTACCGTGGGCTCCATCCCCTTGTCCCCCACCAGGGGTTGCTACCCCCAGATCCTGCACAATCTTTCCTGCGAATCATTAACATACTTACTATTTTCCTCACACTTATTGCGGAAAATCTTGTACGCAACTCGTGTGGGACGACTTCCCACACTCGTGTGATAGACTAGCACTCGCGGCTGGTGACGGTAACTTAGGCCTTGCGATCATACTCGTGCTACGCACTCGTGTGCTCAACTGGCACTTATTCCCGTCAACTCC